CCTACTTCACTGTACTATTGTACATAAAAGCCTACTGTATATAAATGTGTATTAAAAGACATAAGTTGACATCATCCTTATCCACAAAAACAGAGCCACATTTACAAGCTGTGGTAGCAGTGCAGCCTTCTCTTTGATAGAAACACAAGTCAAAAGGTCAGAACCTTGTTGCCTGTTGGCGCCACAGAAGGGGGCAGAGTGACCTCTGCTGGTTGAGCTCCCACATAGCAAGAAGGCCCATAAATATGCTGTGAAACTAAAATATGAATAAAATAATATAAACTTAAATAAATAGGCTAACTGCTGTCCTAAAGCTACATATAACATTAGTTCACTTGTCTTAATCTGAAGTTACAGGTCACCAATGGTCTTAAAAATATTTAATTCTCCCGAACAGCCTAACAGGTATTATTTTATTAGTTATTGTTTTTGTTTCAGTTAGCTAAAGTGTTTTTTTTTTCACACCCAGTGCTACTTAAGTTTTACTAAAAAAACGTTAATTTGGTTTAGTTTTAGTCTAAAATCACCTTTCTAACTACATGGTACATGGGCTACTTTTATTTTTAAGGTTTTACTGGTTGCTTTCGCTTCCATAAAAGGAATAGATCACGTGACTTCCGTTTTTGGTTTATCATGAGAAACGAATTGACTGAAGTTCACAGACTCTCTTCATACTTTGTTCAAAAAGGAATAACAATAAAATGAATCACCAAAAACGAAAAACGGGCCGATTTTAATTGGTTTTTCGATTTTTGATTCTGACACCAAAAACGGTTATTTGGTTATTCGTTTTGAAACAAAAAACAGATAAACGGCATTTTCGTTTTAGTATTACAAACGAAAACAATTGGAATTGTGGTCATATTTCGGTTTTCACTTTCGGTTTTCTTCCTGATGAACAGCAGTGCGCTCATCTCATCGAGTAGGCCACAAGTCAGATTATTTATATTGGCTTAACTGTTCTTTAAAAAATGGGCCAACGATCGGGCTGACATTGGGCTGGCCCCCAATCACATCTCTTACAGCACCCACTCCCTCCCCCCCTGCTGGAGCTGTTTCTTCAAATGCGTGAAAATAACCAATAGATAGATATAAACTTAAAAAAAAAATTAAGCTACTGATTACTGCATTACATTCAGTTATATTTTTATATTCTGAATTGTCACCTGCCACCTAAATTTTGTCCTTCCCTTTATAAAAAATAAAGACATTTCCATCATAAATAGGTGCAGAAAATGTCTCCAGAATTCAGGAAAATTAAGTGTTTAATGCTTAAAATCGTCTGGGGGAGGATCCCCAGACCCCCCTATTGTATACTTTGGCTATAAATAATTCTTCATTGAATTCACATTAACTAAGCTAATTTATCATTGAGGTGAAAAGGGGCCATATGCACATTTAAAAAGACATTAGGCTACTTCAGAAGGGATTAAATTAAATGAGAAAAGTTGATCTACAGGAGAAACATATCTGACAGCAATACAGAATGTCTGACAGTCTTACTGCATCATATTACATATATTCTTCTTATTTTGAATTGTCACCTGAGACATTTCCTCAATAAATTGGTGAAGAGAAAATCACCTGAATGCAGAAAATTAAGTGTTTAAAGCCCAAATTATTCTGGGGGAGGAACCCCCTAATATTATCAATGTTAATTATTATAAGTAGTAATTATTCATAATAAATGTAGGCTACATATAGAATTTACTGTTGCTTTATAGATGTAGTTTGGGTAGGCGGCAAAGGGGGGTGGGGGGTTAAAACATGAAAGAGGCTGGGCTAAGCCCCCAATGTGTCAAGAGCCTGGAAACGCCCCTGTGTTCTATGATGTCAGACATTATGTTCCCACACCTCTTAAGTGTCAAGAATTAAAACATCAAGGGATAACATACACTGAAGCAACCAAGAGAGTAGTTTGCAACCAGACAGACCAAACAATAAACAAGTTAGTGCAAAATGTAAAAAGTCAAGAACATGTGAGGGATGTTACAGAATAAAGGAAGACACTATGAAGGTGGGGAAAAATTAGTTTGTTTTGTTTATGGTCGATGTGGTAAATTGTTCTGCGCAAACAAAGAAGAAAACATCAAAATAATAGTTAAAGCAGTAGAAAAGTACTTAGGAATCAAGGGGTTAGTGTAGGAGGAGGTTGAGGAACAATTAAGTGGAGGAACACCAAGCTCACAAGCACTATTATGAGGTGGTGGATCTTCATGATCCTAACTATACTGCAATGGAATGCAAGAAGTCTAATTGCTAATGGACAGGAATTTAAGCATTTTATTTAAAACCTTTAAGATAAACCCAATGTTATATGCATATAGGAAACATGGCTAAAACCACAATGGGACTTTGTAATTCAGGGTTACACAGCAATTAGGAATGATAGGGTGAATGGAAAAGGTGGTAGCAACGTTTGTGCTAAATGGGACAAGGTTTAGTTTAATGAGTATAGGAAAAGAGCATGAAGCAATAGTAGTCAAAAGCTGGACAAGAAGAGCTGAACTAACAATAATTAATTACTAAAAACCCTAGCAAAAGATTAAACATAGACACATTGAACACTGTGGGTCGGCAAACACGGGATAAAGTGGTTTGGTGCGGTGATTTTAATGCACATAGTACACTATGGGGAAGTAAAAAGACAGATACTAATGGATTAGGATAGTGCACTTACTGTAGTTTTAAGATTATTTAAACAGATTTGGGAAACAGGCAAAATACCAATAGCATGGAAACAATCAATCATAGTACCAATAGTAAAACCTGGGAAAGATACATCAGACCCATCAAGTTATAGACCAATAGCACTCACGTCACAGTTAGGGAAAACCATGGAGCATATGATAACAGACAGATTAACATTCTTTCTAGAAAGCAGAGATTTGTACTCACCATATCAAAGTGAGGAAAGGGAGAAATACAATGGACTCTATGGTTATGTTTGGAATCTGAAATCAAAAAAGCATACAATATGTTATGGAAGGAAGGGTTACTTATTAAATTTAATAAATTAGATGTAGGTGGTAGACTGTACAACTGGGTGTTGGACTTCTTATTTGGCAGGGCAATAGAGGTCAGGGTGGGCACAGAATATTCAAGACTCTATAAAGTTGAAAATGGTACTCCACAAGGCAGTGTGTGTAGTCCAGTACTATTTAACATCATGATCAATGATATTTTTGAAAAAGTGGAAAGAAGTATTGGGAAGTCCTTGTATGCAGACGATGGGGCCCTATGGGTAAGAAGATGGAATTTGAAATTTATTCAGAAAAAATTACAGGCAGCAATTATGGAGGTGGAACGGTGTGCAAATTACTGGGGTCTTAAGGTGTCGAGTGCAAAGACACAAGTGATGTTTTTCCAGGAGACATAAAGAAGTGTCCTTAAAATTATATGATCAAACCCTCGAACAAGTAAAAGTTGTCAGACTGTTAGGAGTGTTGTTTGATGAAAAGTGGACCTGGAAACAGGACACTGATAAGGTCAAAGACAAAGGCAAAAAAAATTAATAACCTTTTAATACGTCTGTCAGGAAGGGACTGGGGGGCTACTACAACATCATTGCTTAAAATATATCAGACCTTGATGAGAGCTACACTAGATTATGGATGTATAGCATATACTGTATGTCAGCAGCAGAATGGCATCTTAAAAAACTAGATGTGGAACAGGCACAAGTTTTAAGAACATGCAGTGGAGCATTTAAGACCTCTCCAGTGGCTGCCATGCAAGTAGAAATGGGGGAACAGCCACTAAGGACATGAAGAACAAGAATTATGCTAACATACTGGCTTAATCTTCAGGGACACTGTAGCTCTCAACCCGCTAAAACCATCCTAGAAGAATGTTGGGAACACAATAAGAGTAGCTGTGTCAGTTTTGGATGGGTGGGAAATGCGAAAGCAGAGAGCCTTGGCCTGTGCGGTATAAAATATATACCAGCAGTCCCATATCCAGATCTTCCTCTGTGTTTTTTGTAAATCCATCCATTGACCTGCATATTAGCAAATAATCAAAAGAAATCCAAGCAAGCACACACAGGAAGAATAGCAGAAAGTTACATAGAGCAGCACTATAGAGATAACCGCATGGTCTTTACTGATGATATCCAGAGACCGGAAGGACAGGAGCTGCCATTTACATCCCTGCACACAAAATAGGCATTAAATAGAGAACAGATCATCTATCAGTATATACAGTTGAGCTTATGGTCATTCTGATGGCATTGCAGTGGGTAGAAGAAAACAAGGAAGGCAAAGTGGTCATTGCATCAGATAGCTGGGCAGCGCTCCTGTAGGCTAGATCTGGTATTTAGTATTCATAGCTCTCTGTGTAGATTATATCATAAGGGACTGATTGTCTGCTTTGTTTGGGTTCCTGCCCATGTAGGGGTAGAGGGAAATGAAGACGCTGATATTCTGTCAAAACAAGCACTTAAATCAAAGTCAGTTGACAAGTTCTGCTAAGTAAATCTGAAGGTTAAACAGTCATTAAAGAGAAAATGCAAAAAATATGGAAAGAATACTGGGAACTAAATGAAACTGGAAGACATCTTTACAGTATACAGAAACATGTTGGTCTGGGAAGAAAACTGGGTGGGTGCCGGAAGACAGAGACCGTCATTACCCATCTAAGGATAGGACACACAGGGCTTAACCATTCACTTTATAAAATAAGTAAACACCCAACTGGACACTGTGTAAAATGTAATAGCATAGAGACCATTCAACGTGTGCAGGTTGAGTGTAGAGGATATGTAGAGGCAAGGAGGAAAATAGCTGCAGTTGTAGAGAAAAATAAGCTTCTAAAGGTTCACAGACGAGAACCTCCTTGGGGATAAAGCATGGGGAATATCTAAGCACCTTATTAAATATCTAAAAGAAACGGGATTAATAGAAAGGATATAGATTTTATTTTTTTGTTTGTTTTGTTTTATTTGTTGATTTGTTTTTAAATATGTTGCACATAATCTGTTCCACATTCCAGTCCGGTAGGTGGCGGTAATGCTCCTAAATGCTGGTTGCCAACCGCCAATCAAATCAAACGAAGAAGAAGAAAAATAAACTAAAATCATTAAACTGCGTCAGCACAAACAGGTGAGTCGAGCTGTGTGAGATATATTTCGATTAAAGAGGGAAACGTAGTCCACGTAGAACACTGTAGAACCCACTTGTTGTTGTCCTACCGCTGAAACTCTTGAGTCCAGGTTCTGTGTGGTTCGGATGTTTTCAGGTGAACAAAAGCTGTTAATTTCCGCTCTTACAGAACTGCACGCAATTGCAAAAGCGAAAGTTAGCAGACATCGTAACTTAGGCCTAATTATTTCTAAACCTAAAGGTAAAATGCTGTTCAAAATTATAGCCTACATTCTTCTGATACTGATCCGAAGTCAGTAGTTTCTGAACTTTTGGAGATATTTGTGTTTTATTAGACTCAGTAGGAGAAGGATCACTTCCTGATAGGATTGGTCTGAAATGTAAACGTTTCCTTGATTAATCCCCCCGTTTTTTTTCACAAATCGCCCGCTGGTTATTCAGCATACACATTGTCACGTGTATGAAATTCACATTCAACCAAGCTTGCCATAACCACTTTAAGTCATGATGTGTGTTCTCAGCATGTTTCCGTTACTGAAGTCAAGCCAGCCCTCGCGCTGTTTTGCGATGCGTGTTTTTTCTAGGCATTACGGTAACATCGTCTCGCAGCACATTTCAAAATAAAAGTGAGCTTCTGCTGAACAGAATGCAATTGATGTGGCAGAAACGATTGAATAAATAAATGCTTAAGACACCACAAGTATCTAAAGAAAATATTAAAGTCTGACAGAAAGCTTACTACATTCAGCCAAGATTCGAACACAGTTTTAATATTACAGCCATTAAAAATGTGTAATATTTTCGGGAATTCGCCAAGATTCAAATTGACATAAAAAGAAAACCTCCTGTTTCCACTGACTCATTTTACTTCACAGGGACAGCAGGCCACCCCAGGGAGACCCTCTGTCAATATCAGAGGAATCTGATATTGACAGAGGTCTACAAAGGACAAGGTTGACAAAGATGATTGTCAGGGTACTCTCACAACATAAGACCTTTTTCAACACATGAAGAAAACAACATAGTCCCAGTCTCTGTTTACTGTTACACGCACGCACGCACGCACGCACACACACACACATACACACACCTCTGCTCATACTAGATTTCCATTTCCACAATAAACAAGTCACAAGAACAAAGACTGTGACAGTGTCATTGGATTGGACAGATTATCAACATGATTAATTGTTCTGACTGGAAAAACTGTGGAGGTGGACAGCCACAAAAGAATCATCCTGATAATTCATTCATTTTAATAGAGTTCTCAAGTTTGAGGATCAGAAGCCAGTACCTCTTTTATAGGCCTACTAGCAGTCGACTGTGTAGGCCTTATATAGTTTTTTTTTTTTTTTTAGGGTTGTTCTCTTGTTCGTTTCTAAGCTTCTGTAGGCATAGCCCTGCTTTTACTACAGTGTTACATTATAGATCTACTGTTTTTTAATTAAAAGTTATTTCATCTGTATACCTGCAAGGATGTCAACATATGCGACAATAATATATCAACGTTCCAAACATTGAATTACATTTTGACTGAGACACTTTCATAGGTTTAGAGAAAAGGTACAAGGTTGTTTATTAGTCATTTTACAGCAATAGGCTGCATAACAAAATGAAATTAGTTCATTCATGATACACACACAACATATATTTAAGTGTAGGCCTATATTAAAATATGGTAATATATTAATTAAAATAAATCAATATCTAGGCTACAATTAGGTTATTTATATAGGCTACATAAATAGCCTACATACATCCATCTTGACTGCGTTTCAGCACCAAGAGTAATCCACCTCCTCTCATCTTGATGGAGTCTTGTACTGATAGCTTTAATTGGCTGCCTCTTGCCGTCCACTGCTGTATGTGAATCAAATGTGAGACCACATTTTGAACAAAAAGCGCAGGTTAGCATCACATCGGCCCCTGTGAAAGGGCACTAAACTAGAGTTGTTAAAAGTTGAAACAGGAAGTTTCCTTTTTATGTCAATTTGAATCTTGGCGAATAGTGAAAATATTACACACTTTCAAGGGCTGTAATATTAAAACCAAGCATCAGATTGCTCTGATATTGACAGAGGGTCTCCCTGGGGTGGTCTGCTGTCACTGTGAAATGAAATGACTTAGTGGAAACAGGAAGTTTCCTTTTGATGTCAATTTGAATCTTGGCGAATATTACACACTTTCAATGGCTGTAATATTAAAACCAAACATCAGATTGCTCTGATATTGACAGAGGGTCTCCCTGGGGTGGTCTGCTGTCACTGTGAAATGAAATGACTTAGTGGAAACAGGAAGTTTCCTTTTGATGTCAATTTGAATCTTGTCAAATGGCGAAAATATTACACACTTTGAAGGGCTGTAATATTATGTTCAAATCTTGGCTGAATGTAGTAAGCTTTCTGTCAGACTGTAATATTTTCTTTAGATACTTGTGGTGTCTTAAGCATTTATTTATTTATTCAATCGTTTCTGCCACATCAATTGCATTATGTTCAGCAGAAGCTCACTTTTATTTTGAAATGTGCTGGCTTGACTTCAGTTTTCCATTGCCTCCCAAGTTACCAGAAAAATAAATTATTGCAGGTTTAAGTACAGAAGTATTATCAGCAAAATACCTGAAGTCTAAAAGGTTAAAATACTGAATCTGCAGAAAAACGGTCCTGATGACATCATTGTTAATACATAAGCAGAATTGTACTGTTGAGGTTTAGCTAGTTTTAAGTATTTTATATACCGTTTGATAGTTTAGTCTGGTGTTTACAAACCTGTGATTCAGGTCCCTCCAAAGGGTCACAAGATAAATCTGGGGGGTCGTGAGATGATTAATGGGACAGGAAATTAAATCCTGATCCAAAGTAAATCAGTTATAAGGTTATAAGCCACTGGTTTAATGTGCAGTGACCAGTCAATAAACAGATTCCCAGTGAAGGTAAAAGACTTCCAGGGTCCACCTGTGGTTCCTCATCTGGAGCTCATGTGTGGACAGTTTGAAGCTAAAAACAGGTTTCTCCAGCACAAATGTATCTGTGTTAACCAGGTTTCTCGTTTAAAAGATGTTTCAGACATCTGCTCACTGCAGAAAGCTCAAAAGAAACTGTTTGCTTGGCTGTTAGTGTAATCTCTGCATGGATGTGTTTCTTTTTGTTTCAGATGATGTCCCTGTTCTGCATTTTACTCTCACTTCATTCCAAATCTCAGTGAGATGACGTCTTCAGCCCACGAAAACTCTGATCCTGCGGTACAGAATGATGTTTAGCAGAAAACCTGTGACAGCTGCAGCATTACTGGTAAAATAATTTGTTATGAAAGCAAGTTTTTATTTGCTTGACAGAAATTCATGCATCAAATCGCTCCTCTCCAACATTTCATTCTTTGTAAAACCTTTGTCTTTATAATGCTCTCCCTCACACATCAACAAACATTTCACTGTCGAGAAAGAAAATAGAAAAAGTAAACTGAAACGTTGAAGGTTTTCTGTCCATCAGCTCTGCAGAGTGATAAGCTGCTGCTCTGCCTTTAACCTCTGAACAAGAAGAGAGTGGAGCTGTTTAATAGGAAACCCTGTATTGGCAAATGTCTTGTGTCCTCGCTTTGCACGTTTAACAACTGATCAGATTAGATGCAGTAACCTAACCTCCATAATTTAAAGCTCCTTAAATTAATTGTCTTTCCATATTAACTTATTCAATTTAACAGTTCTTTTTATTCCTTCTCTTTGGCTACGTTCAGACTGCAGGCCAGTGTGACCCAAATCAGATTTTTTTTGCCCATATGTGACTCAGATCTGATCTCTTAATGACAGTGTGAACCGGCCAAGTAACATGGAATCTGATCTTTTCCAATTCAGAATTGTCCCATTTTCATATGTGGTCCAAAACCGATACAGATCGGATTAAATGCAACTTTGAAGTCACTCTAGAGCAGCTGTTCTGCTGTACACTGAGCTGCAGGGAACGAGAAAGCTCCACAAAAGCCATTATTATTCACGTGGCTCTCTTTCTCCTCTACCTTGCTATAATCTGCTCATAATTTCCCTTTCTTACACCTGAAATCCACCGGACCGCGAGCTCTCTTTTGAGTTATCTGCATGCTATTTGTCCAAGTGGACACAGTGGGGAGAGAGAGAGGGAGTCAGTGGTGGGGTGGTTGCGTTGTACAGCGCCAGAAACCGTAAAGAAAAGAACAGGAAGTTGTGAACAATTGTCATAATTCGGGAGAAATGTGACCTGTGAGAGGACAATAAAAAACAGGAGTCTCCCGCGAGCTAACCGGAGCTAACCTCTGTTGCTCCTTGTGTACTTCTGTATTGTGTTATTCTTCTGCGCATGTGGGTCACATTCAGGCCATGGACACTTCACACTAGAGTCTGATAGGGGCCACATTTAAGCAATTATGTGAACTGTCAAGCAAACAAAATCAGATCTGGGAAAAAGATTGGAATTGAGCATTAAGGCCTGCCGTCTGAATGTAGACTTTAACACAGTCACGCGCTGCTATGGCTGTGCTGTGCGCCCAGACGCAGCAATCTAAAGTACCATCCTGTGATGGATTTACAGACGCAATGTGTCACCTAGACTATTGTATTTATAAGTACAGAAATCAAAGAGAAAGTTATAAAGAGCATGGCCAGTGCTGTCATTGTCAAAATCCTGAAACTTCACTACAGACAGCTGAGTGCAGGGGAGGAGTCCACTGCTGAAATGACGCAGATTTTTTCGGGCATTTTCAGTACAATAACCTCCCGATTCATGGCAACCACATTCCTCATTGACAGAGAGGCAAGACATTATGGTGAATAAGAAAGAAAAGCACCAAATGTAAAAGCACTTGTTCTCACCTATTTGAATGGGGACCTGACAGCCTTGCATTGAGCAAAATCTTTGACAATGTCTTCAGTAAAAAATAAAATACAATCTTATTTGGGAGCTTTCCAACCTTCTCCTCCTGTTCTTTTATCTCCAGTCTCTACTTGAAACAACTTTTATGTTTAAATGGCATGACTGCTAGCTTGCACATGTGCTCTGCTAGTCTACTTGTCAGATTTTGCATTTCAGAAGAATCAGAATTCAGAAGGAGCTTTATTGCCAAGTAGTGTTTTACACTACTGTGGCAACTGTGGCTCAGGAGTAGAGCTCCTAGTAGAGGGTTGCCTGTTAATCGGAAGGTCAGTTCAAGGCAGTTCAGTCCCCGGCTCCTCCAGGCTGCATGTCGAAGTGTCCTTGGGCAAGATACTGAACCCCCACCAGTGATTGAATTGGAAATGCAGATGTCGTGTAAAAGTGCTTTGATAAGGTCTATACAGACATAGAGTTGACATAAATAAATGTAGAAAATATATAAATATGGAATAGACAAAAAAAAAACATATATATAAAACGAATAGAGAAAAATAATACAACTATTTGCAGAGAAAGAACGTCGCAGATTTTTACATGTGAATTATTCCGGGTTTGTGTTGTGCAGACGTATTGCAATGGAAAAGAGTATTGTGTACATATATATACATTGACAAAGATTAAGAATTAACAACAAATATGTGCAATGTGCCAGGTTTGTGCATGATATGAAATGAATGACTGTATAGACATTTGTATTATTTGCAAGGGGGGAGTGTCTGTGGGGGCTGCAGACGGGAAGAAACTGTTTTTGTGGCGAGATGCTTTAGTCCTGATGGACCGCAGCCTCTTGCCAGAGGGGAGAGTCTGAAACAGTTTGTGTTCAGGGTGGGAGGGGTCAGCTGCAATCTTTGGGGATGACTGGGGAGTCACACTGGAGGGAGTATCGGTTCACCCGCTTTCACCCAGCTAAAATTTTGTTGTCTTGTCACATGATCAAATAGAAATTTAGGATTGGGCAGCTATACACAAATTACCCAGCAATCATCATTGCAAATGTAGGTGACACGAATCCCAAAGAAAATAACACCATATTCATTCTGTGGAATCTAATTTATTTATACTTTGCTTGCTACAGATGTTTTTGGGTAAACTACTGACTGACACCACGGCAAAGGGGGATGTGCACATTTGAGGTTATATATATATACCACTTGATCTTCGGTGAGCTGTGTGTCTACTATTATTAGGTGCATTCTTACCAAGTAACTGACAAAGTCCAGCTTGTAACCTGGCATGGCCCGCTCCCGTCATGGGCACCTGTACAGTGCGGGCCCCGATGCAGCTGCACTGTCTATAATGTCCATACCTACACCCCTGACTAATCTCCCTCCACCTTAACATATGCAGACTCACCTGTCGATACTTAAACTGTATGTTATGTTTTCAGAGTTCAGTTCAACAGCTTCTATCCATCTATTTGATTTACAACCAGCCTTCACTGAGATGAAAACCTTTTTCTTTCACTTCACAGATACTTGTGATGAATGTCTGCAGAGGAAATGGCTTCACATGTCATCGAGGAGAGTATGAGAGAGGGAATGAATGCTGTCCTGTGTGTCCTGCTGGTAAGACCCAACTGAATGTTAGAGAGAGAGATTTCACACCATCAGCTTTGCAGAGCTCACAACATCTGCTTTACCCTCCAAGATTGAACTTTCTCATTTAATAGAAACATTACATTGCATTAAATTAAATTGTTGTTTTCTTTTCAACAGGAAGTCGAGTTAAAACAGATTGTACAGAATTCACAAGTACTTCCTGTTTGCCCTGCACTGAGGGAACCTTCATGAGTCAGCCGACTGGACGTAGACAATGTTTTCTTTGTTCAACTTGTGTTGAAAGTAGGTTTCTGTGAATATTTCTTCAACAGTAGAAACTTAGAGCCTGGAGTTAAAGGCAGTACGTCTTATTACTGCAAGTTCCACTGTTAATACTGTGGAACAACTGAGGAAACTGTTTTAACAATGTCATTGTGTAGAAGCAGAAAGTCTTTTTAATGAGTTTACTGTACATTACTGATTTTGCTCTTAAAGTGCCACAATACATGCAGAAACAAAGACCTTGTGTGTTGTGAAATACTCTGAAATACTGAGTGAAGATATTTTGTCACAAGTAAGCCACAAGACATTCAACATGATTTCTTTTGCAGTGGAATTATTACGCTGTTAACATCAGCACAGCCTTTGCTGTATTTTCCTTAATGTTTAAGCCTGAAAAAAAAAGCATGTTGGTCTAGAAGATTAAAAGTGTAGTATCTCGTATGTGCTGACAGGTTCTGGTTTGAAGATAAATACGTCATGTACAACAACATCAGATGCAGTTTGTGAACCACTGGAGGGATTCTACTGTCTGGAATCTACAGAGAACGGCTGTATGACAGCACAGAGACACACAAGCTGTCAACCAGGACAATACATCAGCCAGAAAGGTTGGTTTCTTTCTGCTGACTTTTAGGCTATAACTATAGTTTATGTTTTAAAATATAGCAGGAAGCGGCAGTGATTGGGATCCAAGCAAGTTGCGAAAAAACACAACATTTGAGAAGAACAGATGCAGACGACTTGAGAGATTGAAGTGATGAAAGAATTTTGACTTTGAGATAATTGGGAAAACGCAAAACTTGATTTTTACAGCATCACCTTGAGATCAGAGAGTGTCATTATGTACCTGACTGCTGGGTGAAATGTTCAACCCACCTGTGACATTTTGTTTTTCAAAGGTTTAAAGTTTAAGCCGTACAAACACTTTCAGGCAGAGAAAATTAAGAAGAAAGTGTCACAGGCTTCAAATAAAAGAGAACTTAGACTCACTATGATCTGAACACCCCCATTGTCAGCCAGTCTGACTCAGTCACCTGGGGTTTTGAACCCTGAAACTTCAGATCTCCAGAGTAGGTGACGTGCTGACTGAGCTACTGGTGAGAGGCTGTTTCCACACACCTTCTCACAAGTTGAGGTAGTGACGTCAAATGTGCCAGACCTGGACAGTTTTGTCAGTTTAAATTTAAAATGCTTACAACAGTCAAGATGTTGGTGAGAAATTTCTGAAATAAATCCCACATCATTCTGCATTTCAGAAGAATCAGAATTCAGAAGGAGCTGCTGGTGCTCTGTCTCCCTTCTACCCCACACACACGCTACGCTAGACATGCGCACTGACACCCTCTACTTAAGGGTTAGGGTTACCATTTTGGGTTTATTCCCGCAATTTAAAAAGATTCTTTCTTTCTTTTCACATGTTTACTTACAGCATTATATGTTGATGTTCATAAAATAATGGCAGTAAATGAACTTATTGGGAGTTCTATGTAAAATCAGACATTGAGCCATAGCACCAAAATGGTACGATCCTTTTTTTTTTTTTTTTTTTTTTCTACCTTTATTTAACCAGAAAGAAAACTCATTGAGATTAAAAATCTCTTTTCCAAGAGCGTCCTGGCCAAGACAGGCAGCAGCACAATTAACAAGGTTGCAGACAATAAAACATGAAATATAATGTCATATCAGCCTTTGATTGCTTCATAATTATACTGAATTATTTTCATTATCTCTAATCTGTGTTTGTACAGGAACAGCATTCACAGACACAGAGTGCTCTGACTGCAGCAGTGGAACATTTTCAGATGGGACATTTACGTCCTGTCTGCCGCACACACAGTAAGAGAAGCTTCAGACATCTGAACTCTTCCAGCAGCCGTGAATTCATGGTTTCCTACAAATGTTGCTGTAAAAATGTCCCTCTATCATTCCAGATGTGAATCAATAGATCTGCAGCTGAAAGCAGGAACTGCTTCAACTGATGCTGAATGTGGAGAACAAAGTTCAGACAGGACAGGAGCTGTGATCGCTGCTGCTGTTGTTGGGGGGATTCTTTTTTTATTAATATCTGGAGCTGTAGCTATATGGTACCTTTCCAGGAAAAGAAAAAAATGGCATCCAAACAGACGTAAGATTTGCATTTAGACAATAAAAATACTGTCATGTTTTTGATATGTTAATAATATTGTCACATCCTCAATTTGTTAATAAGCTGGTAATGTTTCATTACAGGAATAAAAAGAGATGCACACAGTCCCCAACTGGTATGTTTTAAACTCTTTACTGTTATAAGTCCATTTTACTGTATGTACAGTTGGAAGAAGGAATGATTTTTCTTGCAAGTAATTAAATTAAATCACTTATTTATCAATATTTCACAAAACAGGAACATCCAAATGGAGAAACAGCAGTGATGATTTCAGACAGATGTTAACAGCAGGTGAGACAGCAGTGTGTTCTACATGTTCATTGGCTGAGGACTGTCTGACTGAGCTACACTCTGTGACGTCTTTACAAACGTACAAGATGTTTCTGCTTAAACTAAATGTTTCTCCACAGGAGGAGACAGAGCACATATAAACATGCAGAGTCTTTCTGGACACTGCAGAGTGAATGTGCTCTAGAATCCAGTGATAATCCAGTTGGATGCTGGCACAGTGTCTTTGCAGTGGACAGAAATGAAATCAGCTGAATGTCCTGCACGGCGCTACAAGCTGAACACGTCCTCTTCAGAAGTGCTGGTCTACAGTCTGGATCATTATCTGACACAGATGTTACTGTACAGAGACTGAAGTCAGCCTGGAATAACAACATGGAGTGAGCTACAGACTTCCAGCCATGTGACTGTACATGTAGGCTTCTTTCTTCTTCTGTGGTGGTCACAGAGCTCACAGCTGGATCTGAACACAGTCAGACTGAAACTGGACTTCATCTGTCATAAACCAGAACAATGAGCTGGAACAGAAGACGGATACAATTACAGTCGGCTCACAGACAGTAATGACATTTACTATTAATAATGAATGCTTTTGGCTGAGCTGCATGTGTCCTGATTACTGAGAGTCAAGTGTTCATGTTAGTGTAAATCTGTGTTCAAACATTGTCACTACATTTTTTTTGTAATGTTCAATAAAGTTTTTGTAAAGCTGTGTGAGTCCTCAAGCCAAACACAATTAGGCCTGTTACTGATTTGATAGTATTTATAGTTTTTACAACAACTGTTTACCTTACAAATAAGTGTTACTAAGTAGACATGATCCAGTACTATGTCAAAACGTAAATGTCCCTCTTAATCTATCATGGTATGTTTAACATGCAGAATGATATTCTGGTTAATTATGATAAAGGTCACATGGAAAGAGTGAAGGTGGTGCTGACTGGAAGGTGCTTAAGAAAGAAGTAGGTTCAAAATGCACAAAACTGAAAACAGGCCTGAAGAGACACATCTCCTGTGATACTTTATGGTAACATACTGCTGAATATGGACCACTTGTGACATCATTGGTTACTCTGTGTGGGACTTCATTTCTTATGTCTCCTAATGTGAAAGCAAAGCAAGCACAAGTACCATAGACTTCAGTGCAGGTGGTGACACTTTTATCTTCTCGCAATCACTTATCTTCCCCCATAGGTTTCTGGATGACCAATATGACATCTCTCTCCCTTTCTTTCTCTCTTTCTAATAGCCAGCTATTGTTTGTTATATGACAGATTTTGAATGTTTTCCTGTGTTGCATTTCATGCAAAGGCTTAACACTGTCTGAAACACTTTTTTTATATATGAAAAAGCGTTTATTTATGGAAATGAAAAAAAGGGAAATTTCACTGCTTCTCCACATTAGACCAGGTCCAGATCCAAAACCACTGTATGTAGAGCTTTCAAATTGTCCCAGAGAGACAAGAAACTTTAGCCCCTCTGAACCAGGGCGATTGGCCACTGAGGGGGCTGTGTGTGTGTGTGTGTGTGTGTGTGTGTGTGTGTGTGTGTGTGTGTGTGTGTGTGTGTGTGTGTGTGTGTGTGTAATCTAAATATAATGCAGTGGAATTAATGCCTCCTGAGTTGGTTAAAACAATTTCCCACATCATACCTTAACGATGTGAATAAGTCTAATGCAAATGAAGATAAGATCTTCAGACTTTTCAATTTCCGACGGGACAGTAACACATCTGTAAAACACAGAACACCTTAATGTACATGAAAATGAATACATAAGACAAAATAGACTGATAACTGATGTGTGAACAAGTATGTAGACTAAAAAGTCCAGTCTGGTCAGTAGCACAATATGTTTACTGTGACCTGGCTTGTATGTGTCCCTTTGTAACAAGCCAAGCCATTAATATATTTAAATCACACATCGCTGAGACAGTATTACTATTTAGATACAACTGAGAGATATACTACATTTTCTATAGTTAAATCTGAAACAATATTACAGCAGGATATGTTATACAGGTATAATATGACTGTGGACATTGTGCACACATGAAGTGGAACCGAGCAGATGACCGGTGAACTATTGAGTTGACGTTACATTATATAAAGCTGAAATACAACCGTGGTGTTCTTTTGGCAGATGCAGTGACTTCAACCAGCAAACTAAAAATCAAGTAGCAACCAAGCATTGAACATTAGCAAGCATTGTGCCAGACGAAAGATGTAGTTCATTGAAGGGGTTTCACACAAAACTAAATGTTACTTTACTGTTTCACAACAAACTGCAACTTTTTTACTTTAAATTGACAAACATCATACGTGAAATTCTGGGATCAATTCTAACAGGATAAAAAGATAATCTGTCTCACCACCGTTGATACGTACATATTTTTTCCGAAATAAGGTCCAGTGGGGTGGAAGCAGAAGCAGAAGTGAGGGAAAAATCTTCTAAAATGAGGTTTTTAAATGTGGATTGAATGTCGGCTGTGAAATTCACTCTGTCAAGTCAAAGTCAGATAAAGAGCTGACACACCATCTGATTCCTGTCACAGTTTCATCTGAACTGTCTTCACTGAGTGTGAATTTAGCACACATCATAAAATGTATTAAATCCACATTCAGCCAAAATGCTGTCCCCTCAAAATAACACATCACACAGACATTAATGTCTAAACCGCTGGCAACAAAAGTGAGTACACCCCTAAGTGAAAATGTCCAAATTGGGCCCAAAGTGTCAATATTTTGTGTGGCCACCATTATTTTCCAGCACTGCTTTAACCCTCTTGGGCATGGAGTTCACCAGAGCTTCACAGGTTGCCACTGGAGTCCTCTTCCACTCCACATCACGGAGCTGGTGAATGTTAGAGACCTTGCTCTCTTCCACCTTCCGTTTAATGATAAACTGCTCAACACACACACACACACACACACACACAAACTGCACACGCACACACTGTGTTCTTGTCTAGATAGGAACTCTTTATTGGCAAATTTGTGTGTCTTATTTCCTCCCTGTCCACTGTTTAACAACTGATAAGATTATATGCAGTAAATACCTCACCTTAAATTCATTTCTTTCCATATTAACAAAATACGTGTGCTCTGCTAGTCTGCTTGTCAGATTTTGCATTTCACCCGGTTTCTGGAATGTTGTCAACTTCTCACATGATTAAATAGAAACTTAAGATTGGGCAGCAATACACATATTATCCAGCAATCATTGCACATGTAGCTGTGTGACATAAATACCAAAGAAACTTTTTTTTTCAGTTGAAGAAGAATTAATTTAATTACAGTAAATGATGTCACTCATTTATCAATATTTCACTAAACAGAAACATCTGGACTGAGAAATGTCAGTGATGAATTCAGACAGATGATAACAGCAGGTGAGACAGCAGTGTGTTTTACATGTTCATTGGCTGAGGACTGTCTGACTGAGCTACACTCTGTGACGTCTTTACAAATGTACAAGATGTTTCTGCTTAAACTAAATGTTTCTCTTCAGGAGGAGACAGAGCACATTCACTCTGCAGTGTCCAGAAAGACACTGCAGAGTGTGATGCTGGCAAATTGTCTTTGCAGTGGACAGAAATGAAGTCAGCTGAATGTCCTTTACAAGCTTTGCTCCTTTTTTAATTTTTTTTTTCCTATCACCTTTATTACTGAGACAAGTAAGACTGAAACTGCTCAGAAAATCATTGGTTACCATCTCCTGAGCATGAGTGCAGCGCACCTGGAGACGATCACTGGCCACGGCATCACCCGTCCATACAACCACGCCAGCTGGACCAGACGTCACCGCAATGGTGTGATCAGGCCAGGAAGAGAGGAAAGCGAGCTGGGAAAAGAGCTAAACTAACCCAGATTAGACCTAAGGCTTTTTAACTTCCCTTCTTTACTGAGCAGATGTGAGAAGAGTCCTGCTAAGGGTGAATATAAGTATAGCTGGGCCTGATAAAATCTCCGGCTGTGTACAAAAACATCTGTCAATCAGCTAGTTGATGTTATTACTAAAATCTTCAACAGCTCACTGTCTCAGCAGTTTCATTTCAGAACCAACAGATCCACAGACCATGCCATCTCCACTGCAACATCACAGGCCTTGCATTTCCACAGAGGTTTCTTATTTTGTCCACTTGGTGGCAGCATTGGCAGGTCCAAAGGTAACATGATCAGTGCTCCTGTTGTTTGGAACCCTGTCTTGTCCACTCCACACAGTCGGGACACCACTTCAGCCAGACAGTTCTTGTTCATCATGTGCTGTAATTCTTGTGTGTTGCTGATCTCACAGTGCAGTTGTGAGTTATTTTTTAATACATTTATTTTGTGAGACCACCAACACAGTAGGCCGAATTGTAGTAGTTTTGTAAGAGTAGGTCTACAGTTACCCAGGCAGATTTAAACTAAACCTTCCTGCTGCTGAGGCCCAAGGGGTGGGGGCTGATGGCTTGTTGGGAGAGGTAAGGGCCAATGAAGCATTTGTCGGGCAAAGTCTGACCATAAGAGTAGCTATTGAAGGAGTTGAGCTGCAAGGAGTATTAGATTCAGGGTCAGAGGTCACCTTAATGAGGCAGAGCTTATTTGAACATTTTGCTCAGGCTAATCCAGGGTGGGGCGTTATGATAGTTCACACTACTAAACCGTTACTTGTTGGAATGAATGTAGTAGAGGACTGCTAGAGCACAAGG